GTTTAGCCTATATATATTAAGTTGAGAACATGGCAAACAGCAGCACTACAATATGCTAAATACATTCAGAGATTCAACTGAACCAGTGAATCATTTGTTTCCGAACGAACCGATTCCCTTAAAAGAATCAGACTTGCCAATGCTGTTCAGAAGCGCGTGTTTTATTATAGCCTCGGTTCACACGGCTGCAGTTCCAGTCCTGTTGACGTCTGCAGACCGCCAGGAGCTTTGATGTGAATAATGTGCTGTGATGTTTAGCTCTCGGCTGAGCTGCAGATGTGCAGCTCTCAGCAGCTTTTCTCATATCTTTGTCTCTTTCTGATGCTTCTGTGTCCAAGTAGGTCAGAGTTCCACTGCGGTTTTTCATGACCAAGCACTTCTGTGTCCAAACTCACAAACACAGCTGGATGACAGCAGTGCAGGCGGGCGATAACTGTGACAGCACAAGTCGACAGTACAGCTGTGAGTGCCTTTCTAATGTGCACAAGTTTATATGAGAGTACTGAATGCATAATGAATCCTGCAGATTTTCACTAGTGAAATCTTTCATCTAGTCTGATTTAGTTGGATTTCAGGAGCATGAAACTGGGGGAATATCATAAGACATTATTTGGTCGGTTCTGATAGACGTTATGTCTAACTAGCAGACTTGCTGAGTCACATTTCTACATGTCTGAGTGGCAGAAGCACAGAAAGCACTGTGTCAGCTCATTTGGGCCACGTGTGCTGAAGCTCTAGCCACTCTCATCCAAAAATGATAAGTTGCTGAAAATGCACTCACCCTCAGGCCATCCGAGATGTAGATGAGTTTGTTTCTTCATCAGATTTGGAGGAATGTAGCATTACATCACTTGCTCAGCAATGGATGCTCTGCAGTGAATGGGTGCCGTCAGAATGAGAGTCCAAACAGCTGATAAAAACATCACAATAATCCACAAGTAATCCACACCACTCCAGTCCATCAGTTAATGTCTTGACAAGTGAAAAGCTGTGTCTGTAAGAAACAAGTCCATTATTAAGGTGTTTTTTATCTTCAAACTGTTCATAATCCATAATAATGCTTCCTCCGGTGAAAAGGTCCATCTCCTGTTGTCTCTCACATCAAAATCCACCAACATATTTCTTTAGAGATGTTTGGACTGTTTTGGCTTGTAAACTGTGCTTGATCTGTGCAGACTTCTCTCCTGATTCAGACCAGATGACTTGAGAAAGCATTATTATGGATTATGGTCTCATATTTTAGCTGGAAGCCAAGTTAAAAACGTCTTAATGATGGATTTGTTTCTTACAAACGCGCAGCTATTTTCTCTTCTCAAGACATTAACTGATGGACTGGAGTGGTGTGGATTATTGTGATGTTTTTATCAGCTGTTTGGACTCTCATTCTGACGGCACCCATTCACTGCAGAGCAAGTGATGCTAAATTTCTCCAAATCTGTTTTGATGAAGAAACAGACTCATCTAAATAAAATTTTCATTTTGGGGTGAATTATTTTTAAAATAGTTTTTAAGTTTGTTGCTGTAAACCATTTAATCTTTTTTTTTGTTTGTACCTGAAAATACAGATTTGATTAAACAGTAATCTGATATATTTAAAAGATAAATATTGATATTTAAATAGTTCCAATGCATTTAGCTACTTTCTATTAGTAGCTTGTACTGTAGCTAATTGCTTTACAGAAAAATGTCAGTGTAGTTTGTTAAGCTAATTGTAATTTCCAGAAACGTCAGTAACACTGGTACCAACTCAATCCACTGTTGCAGCTCTTAAAGCACATGACAATTATGAGATTAGAGCAGCATATGCTGTTTGGAGGCTAATTTGTGTTGATAGGCCTTTATGTAAAGTGTGTTTGTGTGTTAGATTGGGCGTGGAAGCATCAACACGGGTGTATGTGAGCAATTAAAAGCTTTTGGTTTGCAGATTTAATTTATAATCCAATCTAACTGGCCTTAAAGGGATAGTTCACCCCAAAATTAAAATTCTGTCATGTATTACTCACCCTCATGTCATTCCAAACCCGTAAGACCTTCGTTCATCTTCTAAACTAATTAAAACAAATTAAAAACGAGTACCACGACACATCCCTTTAAAGGGTCAAGAGTCCATGCAGTGATTTATGGAGGCGAGTTTTTCAGGTACTGGCATGATCCTCTCTGAACTCATTTATTTAATAAAAAATCTATTTGTTTATGTCTGTGTTTTATGTTGCGGTTTTTGTTTTGCTTAATTTCAGTGCAGCAGGTTGTAATGTTGACTTTTATTATATAAAAGAAGAGAAGGTAATGCATTTATTCAGCAAACATGCATTAAAGTGAAGTGACAGTAAAGACGTGTACAGTATGTTACAACAGATTTCTATTTGAAATAAATGCTGTTCTTTTGAAATTTCTATTCATCAAAGAATCCTGAAAAATAAAATTTATCACCGTTTCCACAAAAAATGTCAAGCAGCACAACTGTTTTCAGCATTGATAATAATCATACATGTTTTTTGATCAGCAAATCAGCATATTAGAATGATTTCTAAAGGATCACGTGACACTGAAGACTGGAGTAATGATGCTGAAAATTCAGCTTTGATCTCAGGAATTACATTTTAACATATTCAAACAATTCAAATAATATTTGACTCTTTTTTTATTGTATTTTTGATCAAATAAATGCAGCCTTGGTGTGCTTAAGAGACTAGAATGACTAAAAGAATAATTAAAAGAACTGATCAGGGACTGAATCAGATTTGAAAACTTCACGAAACATGTGCACCCACAATCCCGTGCTGTTCGAGGCACACGGCGCGGCTGTCATGTGCACATGCTGTATATGTGAAGCCGGTCACCAGATGCTTGAATCTTGTTTATTATGTGTGTGTTTCCATATGTGAACAATATCAGTAGTGTCGTGTCGCCGCAGCCTACAGTCCCATCTGAGCATCGTAGGATTTGGCCATAATGACAGAGAAATGTGTTGGGAGTCTCCCAGAAAACACGCACTCATCCACCCATGCAGTGACAGCACATGGCCAGTGAGAGCTGAATCACTGCAGGCCTTGTGTAACCGTGTGTTTAGATGTGCGGTTGGCGCAGATGCCACCGCAGGACTCGATACGAGCGAAGAGCAATAAATAATGTTTGCGGAATGAAGCTCACCTGGTCCGTTTGTAAACTCTGCACATGAGCTCGCCAACTATCGCGCCGCGATTCATGATGAATCATAGTATTGAATTATTTTATTTCAGGGCTCTTCTGTGCCTGGTAAGACTTCGTAAGATTGCAAACTATTTTAAACGTTTTTTTTAACGCTACTGTGCGGTTGCTAGGGAGGTGGGTGTTTTTTAGGGTGTTGCTATGCAGTTGCTAAGATATTCTAAGTTTCTAGGGTGTTTTGGGTTGTTGCCAGGACAATGTTGTGCAATTGCAAGGTATTTAATATAGTTACTATGTTACTATGTGGTTGCTAGGGAGTTTAAGGTCTTTCATCTATCTTTCATCTAGTCTGATTTAGTTGGATTTCAGGAGCATGAAACTGGGGGAATATCATAAGACATTATTTGGTCGGTTCTGATAGATGTGATGTCTAACTAGCAGACTTGCTGAGTCACATTTCTACATGTCTGAGTGGCAGAAGCACAGAAAGCACTGTCAGCTCATTTGGGCCACGTGTGCTGAAACTCTAGCCACTCTCATCCAAAAATGATAAGTTGCTGAAAATGTACTCACCCTCAGGCCATCCGAGATGTAGATGAGTTTGTTTCTTCCTCAGATTTGGAGGTAATCTGAGGAAGATCACTAATCATAGTAACTACTCAGATTAGTTACTATGTTACTATGTGGTTGCTAGGGAGTTTAAGGTGGTTTCCACTTTCCATGGTGTTGCTATGCAGTTTCTACGATATTATAAGTTGCTAAGGTGTTTCAGGTGTTTGCCAGGGTGATGTTGTACAATTGTAAATTATTTAGCATGTTACTTTGTGGTTGCTAGGGAATTTGGGTGGTCTCTTTGGGTGTTGCTATGCAGTTTGTTACGACCTCTAGGGGTAAGCCGTAACAGAAAAAGGATTTGTATTAAACCATCTTCTCCGGTCTGCAATAAAACAGCACCGACGCCTGTACCACTGGCATCAACTTCTAACAGAAACGGTTTTCCAAAATGAGGTGCAACCAGTACGGGGGAACTACACAGCAGAGTTTTCAGAGCTTCAAAAGCAGAATGACATTCAGGAGTCCACTTAAAAGAAACAGCTTTACGGAGTAACCCCCGTGAGAGGACTGGCAACAACAGAATTTTTTACAAAAACAGCGATAATAACCGGTCATACCGAGAAATCACCGAAGCTCTCTCCTAGTCTTTGGGACTGGAAAGTCAAGGATAGCTTGAATCTTAGAGTTAAGAGGATTTCGAAGGCCAAAAGGCATGACCCGATATTGTAGGAACACATCAGAGGTGGCAAAGGCAGAGATTTCAGACGCACGCTCTGTGAGCGGCACCTGCCAATAACCTTTTGGCAGGTCGAGTTCACAAATTTACTATCATAAGTTTTTCGAACACCTACATGACCAGAAAGTTCATGGTCATGTGCTACACTCAACACTTGCTCTCGAAAGGGTTTTGGAACGACAGCTTGAAAAACGGTACCCCAATCATCGGTGGCATGACGTGGAAACCACTTACACATAAGGACACCACCGTCAAAGAAATAGGCGACTGGATACTCTGGCAAAACGTTCGGCTCGACAGCAGCTGCAACACAGGAACACAGAGTTTGATCGGCATGTTGTGCCTCAATTAACATGGTTTTTCCAAATGGCAAATCAACACTAGGAAGTGCACAGATTTTTACTTCAACTGAATCAACTTTTTCCTCCGTCTCAGCAGAATTGTCATCACACAAAAAGGTTTTTGACAGATCTACAGTGTCTTTTAGTTTTTGAGCTTGAGCTCGGGTCACCACACATGTGCTAAATGCATTAGGAAACACTTCCTGTAAAGCATCTTCATCATGTATCTCAGGAACATCTATAACCTCAGGTAAACAAAAAACTTTGTTACCTGCCAAGTCATTTCCTAATATGACCGCTACACCTTTAACCGGTAACTCAGCCCGAACGGCCAATTTAACTTTACCGGAAATAATTCCAGAACGCAAATAGACATTGTGTAAAGGAACTTTAACTACAGAGAGATCAATGCCTTGCACTAGTACGCTGGAACCACAGCTTGACTGTTCCGAAAATGGCAGCACACCCTCTAAGATTATGGACTGAGAGGCGCCAGTATCACGAAGGATGCGAACACTTTGTTTCAGAGTCTGCTTCACTAAAAGACACAACACCGTCAAAAAGAAATGGCTTAAATGCAGATTCAGCTGTTGTATGCAGAACTGCCGGCTCGGGAGATAAAATGGGACGCTCAACTATTGCAACGCTTATAAGCGTTTGTTTTCTTGCCAGCTTTGTGTTTCAGAGCGGGACAGGTAGCGATGAGGTGTCCCACCTCATGACAGTAAAAACATTCATGATTCTCCACATTACTTCTCAAACAAATTGGCTTTGTCTCTTGCGAATTCAACGAATGTTTGACTAGGGGTTTTCACATGATTTCGGAATTTCTGTCGGTATGCCTCGGGAACCAACTCGTAAGCGCGCAGTATGGCATTTTTCATTACCCCATAATCCAAGTCAACTCCGCGGGTTTGGGTTCTGTCCCCTCCTCTACGGAAGCCAACACTTGAGCTGCAACACCCGCCTCCCCCTCACCTTCTTCAGACAAAACCCGACGTTCAACCAAATGCTTGTAAATCACTTCCTTAATGTCCTGTTTCCTAGCACCACGAGTAACCTGTATTTGATACAAATCCGCGATCGTTAACAAATCATCTTTGTGGCAAATATCCAACTGATGTACTGAAGGTTCGATCACAAACTTATCCAATTCAAATTGAAGCCATTCCTAATTCCCTCCGCCTTAAAGTGAAAACCACCAGGCAAACGAACAAACACAAAGCCCGCTGGTTAACAGAGGCCACACCCATCTGGAACACAAACATGTCGACACACGAGCAGAGACATCGAATACATACAAAAACAGTGCACAGATGCATAGACTATCTTAAGGTCATAACAAGTTGCTAAGATATTTTAAGTTGATTAATTGTTTTGGGTGGTCGCCAGGGCAACACTCTCCAATTGTAATGTATTTAACATAGTTTGAACTTTTTTTTTTAAACATAAGTACAAAATGTGGTTGTTAGTGACTTTGGGTGGTTCCAGGTTGTTGCTATGCAGTTGTTAAAATAATACAAGTTGCTGAGGTGTCATGGGTGCTTGCCTGGGTGATATTGTGCAATGTCAAGGTATTTAGTATGTTTTTAACATAGTTTTAATGTTACTGTGTGGTTGCTAAGGAGTCTGGGTGATTTTCAGGGTGTTGCTATACAGTTGCTAAGATATTCTGCATTGCTAAGTTGTTTTGAATGGTTGCCAGGGTGACATTGTATAATTGGAAAGTATTTAACATGTTTCTATGTGGTTGCTAGGGAGTTCAGGTGGTTTCCAGGGTTTTGCTATGCAGTTGTTAAGATATTAAAATTTGCTAGGGTGTTTTACAATTTGCAAAGTATTTAACATGGTATTAATAATGGTTTTTAATATTACTAGGTGGTTGCTATGGAGTTTCAGGTGGTTTCCAGGGTGTTGCTATAAAGCTGCTAAGATATTCTGCATTGCTAAGATGTTTTTGGGTGGTTGCCAGGGTGACGTTGTACAATTGGAAAGTATGTTTCTATGTGGTTGCTAGGGAGTTTGGGTGGTTTCAAGGGTGTTGCTATGCAGCTGTTAAGATAATATAAGTTATGGGTGGTTGGCAGGGTGATATTGTGCAATTACAAGGTATTTAGTATGTTTTAACAGTTTTAGTGTTACTATGTGGTTGCTAGGTGGTTTTCAGGGTATTGCAATGCAGTTGTTAAGATATTCTAAGCTGCTAGGGTGCTGTACAATTGCAAGGAATTTAACATGTTTTTAAGCATGGCTTTTAATGTTACTAAGTGGTTGCTAGGGAGTTTCAGGTGGTTTCCAGGGTGTTGCTATGCAGTTGCCAAGGTGTTTTGTGTGGTTGCCACAGGGTGACATTGTGCACTTGCAAGGTATTTAACATGGTTTTTAACATTACTATGTGGTTGCTAGATTATTTTTGGGTGGTTGCCAGGGTGTTACTATGCAGTTCCTAAGATATTCTTTGAAGTTGCTAAGGTGTTTTTGGGTGGTTGCCAGGGCAACGTTGTACAATTGTAAGGTATTTATCAATTTTTAAAACATGGTTTTTAATGTGGTTGATAGCGATTTGGTTTGCAGTTGCTTAGTTATTTCAAGTTGCAAGTGTGTTATGAGTGGTTGCCAGGGTGTTGTTTATAGTAATTTATAATATGTTACTATGTGATTGGTTGTTAGGGTGAGTTTTTTTAAGGATGGTTTCCAGGGTGATGTTGTACCATTTCAATGTATTTTTAGTGATTTGTAATGTGTCTTATGCAGCTGCTAGGTTGTTGCTATGCAGTTTCTAAGTATGTAATATTATCTGTTATGTGTGGTTGGTAAGATATGAAGTTGCTAGGGTGTTCTAAATGATTTCACTCTGGATTTGTTTTGCTCATTTTATCATCTACCAAGTGACATTTCTTAAAATGTATAAGTTGCGTGCAAATGTTTATTACTGAAGGTCAGGGGTTTGTTCATAATTCAGTCTCAGTCGGCTAAAAGCTGCTTGACTTTTATGTTGCTTTGTGCGTCTGTAGTGGCTGCTCGTTTCTCCTGGAGTTTCCTCAGATGAAAGACACGGGGAATATTTACGATGTTTATTTTCTTCTCAGGTCTTCCAGCAGCACCTGCACGCAGTGAGTCAACACAGCGCCTCATTGAATCCTCATTTAAGGGTCTTCGTCTGTGTTTAGGCCACATCTGCAGGGTTATTGCTCTCTTGTATCAGATCCGCCCTCGACAAGGTTGTAAATCTTCATCTGCAGAGTGAATCTGGGGTGAAAACACACCTGTAGTGTCGCCCTGCCCTCATGAGCTCACGTCTGGAGTCTTGGGTTTGTAAATCCACCTGCCCTGCCCACAGTTTTCCTCACATTCAGCAAATCCCGTCTTGTTTTTCCTGTGTTTCCTGCACCTGGCACACTGCTGCGATGTGCCAACACTCTCGCCTGTCCATCAGTCAGAGCTGGCAGCGGCCGCACATAACCCACATTCCTGCCTTAAAGAAGCAGGACACCCACAAAACCATCATGCATTCAATCTGCCTCAGAATTATGGAAGGCAGATGGGGCCAAAATTCTTTAAACGGAACGTGTAAAATTTGACCCTATGTCAGCACGCACTGTTTGTCTGTGCTTCTTTTGTATGTGTAGACATTCTGGCTGTGTTAAGGCATCAGTTTTACTGTGTTCAGATGAAAAATTTGTATTTAAAATTTGTTTCTCAACTCGCACACATTCTGACCGTGCTTGAATGTGTAATACTTTTTAACGCAGATTTACATGGTCAAATTGTTTGCGTTCCGTTTAAGGACTTTTGGCCCCGTCCACCTTCCATATTCAGTCTGCATCAGAAGCTGTTTAAAACCGAGTCTGTTCTGACGTCAGATGTGGGTGTGTATCCCTAAATTAGAGTCTGACAGCACCAGCATCCAGAATGTGCAGAGAGCTCTTCTGAATGAAGTATCATTTCATTTTACTGTTTGTTATACTTTTGTGCTCCAGACATAAATGATTCCTCAAATCATGTATATTGTTGAGGATTTAAACGTAAAAAATCGATCAGATGCACTATTTACAAGAAAAAAGTACACATATTATTAAATTTTTATACATTTTAAAATAACTATATTTTAATTATATTAAGAATTATGATTAGACAAAAGTATAGCTAATTATTTATACTAATTTATTATTATAAAATGTATTACCATTAAATATTTTTAACTTATTTAAAGAGAATGTTCATTAATGTTTTTTATGTTTAGTGTATTTTATTTTATTGTTTGTCAACATTTTTAAAATTAAATTGAGCTATTTATACTCCTCTGTCAGTGTGTTTGTGTATTGATGCTTTGGCAATGCAGAAGCCTATGTACAATGTACATTGAGAATTAAGCGAGAGAGAGAGAGAGAATGTGTCACTGTTACCTTAATATTTAAATTTTTATAATTTAATAATTTAATTTTAATTTATAATTTATGCATTTAGCAGACGCTTTTATGCAAAGCGACTTACAGTGCATTCAGGCTATATTTTTTTTTTACCAGTATGTTTAAAAAAAAGCAATTTTAAAATGTTTATTTTAAAATAATTATATTTTAATTATATTAAGGATAATCACTATTATTATGCATTGTATTGTTATAGAAAAGATTAAAGTTATCAAATCATAAAATTATTTTAAAAAATATATTCTAACTATATTAAGAAGAACTATTGGAGAAAGAATAATTATATTATATTTATTTATTATCACATTTATTTTAATAAAAATATTATTTAACTCATTAAAAGAAAATGTGCATTAATGTCTTAATGAAAGTTCAGTGTATTTTGTTTTATTGCTTGTCTATTTTATTATTAAATATTTTGTTATTCATATTTCTATTATCATTACTTCTACTTAATTATTTCCCCTTTCTTCTTTGTATGTTTGTGTGTTGATGTTTTGACAACATAGTACGCACAGTATTAAATGTACATTGAGAAGCGAGCAAGGGAAAGAAAAATAATGTGTCACAGTTATTTAACGGAAGTAGTTTTAGGAAGCACATCTGGATGGACAGACGGGTCGAGCGCAGAGAAGAGGAAGTTTCTTGGATGAAAATAGCCGTCTTGTGAAAATCCCCTTCCTGTCTTTTGCCAGCTTGTTAGTCACGAACTCCTGGAGGATGACTAACCATAACCAGAGAGCAGTAGTATGTAAACCAGTGACCTTTAGTTTCCTCCGTCTGCATCTCAGAGTCCGGCAAGATCAGATTTAACACGCGC